AAAATTAATTAATTAATTATTTTTTAAAAATACAAACATTGATAATCGATTTTTTAAATGGTATCAAAGTAGATTTTTCCAGCGCTCACAGAATCGGGTGGCTTCACTGAAACAAAGAAACAGCACGAACCAGTTTGCGCCATCTGGTGGTCAATGTGTTGCACGACATGCTTTCAAAGCAAGTGAGCTGATCGGTTTGACTTTAGCGTCCTCAAGTGGACAGAATGTTGATGCATTTTTAAAAAGTGTTGATTTCTTCTTTTTCTTCTACTGATCCTATCTATCTTTGCCTCTTCAAAAGCCATTTGTTGTTGGATTCCTGAGTGTTTTTTAATATTATAAATTAAAATAGGACTTCCATAAAATAGAATGCCGTGTTTAAACAAAGAGCATGTCATCTTTTAGCACCATTGTCCATGGTTTGATCAAAATTTTCATTTGAGCAGCAATAGGTTTAATCTGAAAAGTACAAATCAAACYGGTGCAACTTGCCAGCTGTGAGAGTTGTACCTGTAGGTGTATGTAAGGTTTTCTGGGTTCTTTTCATGATTTTGCATCAAACTATCTTATAGTGAGTTTGTTTCTTTAGAAGGTATGCCTTTTAAAAAGTCTAAATATGCAGATGGCATGCTATTTACATTTTCTAATAATATATTATTTGTGTTTTTATGATGTTTTAAACTTTTTTATGACCAACTCTAATCTGTAGTTGTCTCAGACATGTGTGGGGAGATCCTTGGTCTTCATGATGCCTCTTGTTGAATGGTAGGCTAGCCCTCACAGGTGCTGATTGGCTCTTACAACAGCTGTATATCATTTGACCAATGTAGACACTTTTTCCAAACTCTTCTTAATTTTTTTTTTATAATTTCTAAAACTGTCAAAGGAAAACAAATGTTCAGTGATGAGAAAAACATTTTTCGTTCGGTAAATTCACTTTTGAGACCACATCTAGTTCTAAATATAATTTTTTAAAAATATTAATGCTGCCTTTCAGGTACAATTACACCTTACAATAACATCACAGAGATAAGAAACGTGCACAAAACGTGGCAGACACAACAAACTTAGTTTCTGTGTCAAAGCCACTGTTACAGGGTGGGACTGAAACACAGAGGCCTCCCACTCAAAAAAGCCTCCACAGAAACGGTGCAGCTGTGACGATGACAGTTGTGTCTTTTGGACAAARTGCAGTCATCAGGGTGCTCCGAGGCTCACAGCAGTGAATCACACATCAACTTACGTGAGTTCAAACGAGCTGACAAACATTCAGACGAACACACTTCAGGGTGCACAGTTAGATATACGTGACTAATGTCCCTGAGGTGAGGCAGTGGTTAAGCTCAYAGAGACAAATCGGTAAATGTGGCAGCTAATAAGGTTAGATGAGACAGGGAAGCTTCACCTGACTAAATAAATACTTCACGCATAATTAAATCCTGATCACTGATCCAAACACTTAATGTGTGCCGTAGTTAGGCTCATATTTATGTGAAAGTTGAGTCAAAGTAAAGTTACTGCTGGTTTTAGTGCTACTAAAACTATTAAAACTCTATAAAAAACAGTCTGTTCACTTCAGTGGATGCACAGAAAGTATGTGTGATGCCATTACACAGCTCTGTGTGTTTGTAGGACCTGGTTTTATTTTGTTCCACCATTGGATGTTATTTATTCATTTATTTTTAAATCAATGTTGAAAGCCTATTTCCATGAAATAATAATAGCAAATAATTTTCTGTGATTTACTAAAATAAACAGATTTTTATTCATCAAACCACATAACAGTGTCACAATTTACCTAAATTCATTGTGATTTCACAGTTTACTGTTCTAACTTGTTTTATCTTTTGTTACTTTTAGTTTTTATACTTTTCTGCCTCTGCAAGCCTTTTGATTCTTTTAGCTTTTTGCCAGTCCTTTGATGCTTTTAGCTAAAATTCAACTTTTTAGCATTTAAGTAGCCTTTTTGAAACTTTTAGCTGTTTGCCAGACCTGTGATGCTTTTGTTTTTAGCTAAAATTGTGCTTCTTTTAGCTTTTTTGTCAGGCCTTTGATAGTTTTAGTTTTTGGCTAGTATTCTGCTTTTTTTAAGCATTCAACTCTTTAGCCAGTCATTTAATACCTTTAGCTTTTATTAAGCTTTTATAAGCATTTAAGTAGTCTTTTGACATTTTTTGATACTTTTAGCTTTTAGCTAGTACTCTGCTTTTTTAGCGTTAATTCAGTTTCAGATTCTTCAGCCACTTTCAGCASGTACAGTATTCAGCACTGCATTTTCAATCCCTGCAATAAAAATATCTGTAAAAGTAATGTGATACATTGTATGAAAATTGTGTTTGTTTCACTTTATTCATTTCATTTGTAACATAAAATAACAAAGTACAAAAAAACATGCAATCAAAATAAAATCAAATAAAATGAAAGGCAGCAGAAGGAGAATAAATCTTATAATATCTTGTCCTTTTTTTATACCCAAAATATGTTCAAAAGAAAAGTAAATTACAACAAAAACCAAAACAACTGAAAACACGCAAAAAACTAAACACAAAATTTAAAACACCAAGCCAAACAACAGTTAGCATGAAATCATACTTATCCATATTTCTTCAGAAAACTAGATTTTATCATTCTCTTCAATATATACAAGGATCTGGCATTTTTAACCTCATCTTCCCATGCTGTTCCACAAACTTAGTACGAAACCAGGGTTTCACAAACATTTCTATTCCCTTAAGATAATAACAGCTCTCTCTTTTAACAAAATTTACTTGAATGTTGGAAGGTAACACACCTTTATGAGCTCTGTACATTAATAGTAAAATATTACAATTGACCAGATCATAAAATTTTAATAATTTCAATTCATGAAACAATATATTCGATGGATGGCTGTAACTTTTTCTAGTGATAATTCTTAGTGCTCTTTTCTGTAAAATAAAAATAGGATTTGTGATAGTTTTAAAAGCTTTACTCCAGACTTCAATACAGTAAATTAAATGTGGAACAATTATTGCGTTATACAACATAAACAGTGCTTTATCATTGAACACTTCTCTTAGTACTCCAATAGATTTGGCTATTTCTGTTCTTAAACCATTTATATGATTTTTCCATGTTAGTTTTTCATCAACAATGACACCTAGAAACTTCACTTCACTGACTCTACAGATCTCAACATCATCAGTTTTAAATGAAACATCTATAGTTTGCTTATTGGTACAGAAAATAAATTGTCTTGTCCAAGTTTAATGATAATTTATTTAGTTGAAACCATCTGAGTGAACCAGTGAAATCATTTTTTTCTCCTTGGTTTTGCTTATGTGTTGGATTTTTTTCTAMGTTTTTGTCCTTATTTCATAAAAAGTCTCAAAATACATCCATCACTTCTATTATTTACTGAGGCCAACTTACAAATTAATGCTGAGCTTGTTTCTCATCGGGTATCTGTAAATATCTGATTTCAGGTCATTACTTTTACTGAATAATTTCCATGTATACTTTCTATAAATCAAAAGCACTGAAATCTGATTCTGTTTCTGAGGCATGATGAACTGAGGGACTTGTAGCCTCCCAAAACTGGGAGAAACCAGAGGGATGAGCTCTGGCACAATGTCAGCAAGAAGCAACACTAGTGACTTTTAATCTACTTACAGAGGAAGGGTTTTGGATTAGGATATTTTAGATTGGAACTTGGTGGAAGAACAAGAAGGTAAAAACATCAGTAAAAACCATCGAGCTGTAACACTAGTAAAAGCACCGTATTTAGAAATCAAGTGTGACTCAGAAGAATAATTAGCCGTGGGACCTAAACATGTAATTATGTCTCACTTTGTCAGGCTGCTGAATCTACTTGCTTAATTTATGAATCATTGTGGTAATTGGAGCCTGTTTTAAACGACTCTATATACATTTAAGGTGTAATCCAAATAGTTCTTGTGGAAATGTTGCATTTAAAAGCAAAGTGTGAGTGCTTTAGGTTCAAGTATATAAATTTCCGTGCATCTGTTTGTTGCATTTTACATCACGTTGCACATGAATGMAAATATTCATATGTAGATGCATTTTTGATGAAAGAGATTTATAAATGTGCGATCCACCCCCCTCTAACACATCTACCAACAGGCTCACTAACTATACCATGAGTTTATAATTACCACATCACATCCGTGGCGAATGAGGTGGAATGAAAAGCTAACCTAATTTGGGGAGACACGCGCCTCTGTTAGTGCTGGGGTCTCCCCTGAGACGGAGCTGGAGTTGAGGGAGCCGTGTGCTGTGCTGGTATCACGCTCTGTGAGCGGGTAATGGTTTTAATTATCATTTAGCACGCCAGCCTCATTGACAACGTGTCGAGCCGGGGAAATAACCGTCGAGCCAAAGGTGGTAGGAAGAGAGCAACGTGAACATGTGAGAACAGCAAACTCATTCTGAACTTAAATATAAGTTCAACCAAACACAACTTTGTTACTAGTGAACACTAAATATGCACATTTGTTGACTAGGATAACATAAAATTTCAACTAGTCACGTGAAGTCTAAAATGCTAATAAAAATGACTAATTAATGCCTTTTGACTGTACTAATTAACTACAATAAACAGTTTGGGTGAACTTGTTACTTGGTAGACATTCTAGTTAAACTAAACAGTAACATTTGAGCTTATAGTAGCAAACTTTAGGACATACTGTACTAGTTTACTAATAAACTACTTTTAACTACACCAAATAGTAAGGTCAAAAAATTCTAAGCAGTTATCTAAAGGGTAATTTGTGCTTAAACAAATTCTTTGCACTATAGTGAACTATTATTTTCAAATGGGCTTCTTTTGAACTGTTACATTTAAAGTTTGTACCAGTCACCTCGTGTAAACAGAAACACTCACAAGCAGATGCAAAAGTTGTTTTGACTTGTTAAGATGTGAGGTGTTTGATGCTCACTACTATCACAGTTATTCATCACTTTAGTTTAGTGGTTCACTAMTTTAGCTGTGACATATTATTAGTACTTTTGTTTCAACAAGTACGATAAAACCAGTAGTTTGCAAACAAGTGTAATTAGTAAAAATGTTTGTCCGAGTAGTTTGACAAATTCTTTAACTAAAGTTCCAACTGGTAAAGGAAAGCCATTCTTGAAATAAAGAATGTGGGATAAATATGCAAATGGATTGCCATACAACATACCCAGAGGTGCCAGCAGGATGATGAAAACACACGAGTGTTTTTACTCCACTGACTGACGTCTCTCTCTGAATTAGTCACGATGAGTGGTGTGTAACCAGCCATGTCTCTTTCTGGCTGGGGAGGCAGCTAATTTACTTTGTTTAATTAGTCAAAGGTAGTAGAGCATGGTCTACTCTCCCC